TAATTTATATGATTTTTATGTAATTTATATGATTTTTATGTAATTTATATGATTTATTAAATATTAATAATGTTTTTTATATAATATAAAAGTTCTATTCGTAACATTTGCTTCTCCTTTAAAATTGAACTTCTGCGAAATTGTCAAGCAAATTTTGAAGTTGTAATAATTTGTCCGAAGAAAGTTTTTCTAATTTTGAATAGGTATCTTTTGGTACGTTAAACAATTCTTCACTTCTTCCTTCAAAATTCTTTTTCAATTACGTAGTTAATTGTAAACGTCATCGAAGTGTACAGTTATGTGGATTTTTTTTGTTTCCCGTACATATTCTAATTTCGCTATATTGGTGATCATTCAATTTCTTCTAATTGTTCTCCTATCTGAGTTAATATATTCAGTTTTCTTCCTCCAAATCCCCTTGAACGACATCTTAGAGATCATTGTTCTTTTAACTTTTTTAGTCGTTGTTCAGGATCCACAATTTCTCGTTCTTTGGATGATCATTATTTAATTGGGCGTATTATTTCTGCTAATTGCATAATTTTTGGATTTAATTCGATTGGTATGATCAAATCGTCAGAAAATCCATTTTCAATTTGTTGTGATTTTATGAAGTCGACTTGAATAATTGTATTGGATTGGTGTTCTCTTATTTCCTTTGAGAGGTCCACAGCTAATTGCTGAATTCTGTCGCTGAGTCTATTAGTTCCGTTGGATGTTTCGTTTACTGACATTTCTTTTTATTTTTTTGTTTCATTATATTTGTAAATCGTATTCTTTATATATCAAATTTTACGTGATTTATTACTAGTAGTACCGATTATCGTAAAATTCACATAATCGTTTGTTGATTTTGTCACACAAATAATTTTTGTGGCAAAATTTGTATGATACTTTATTAATCTTTCTTTTTTTGTTTCTTGTATTATGACAAAATTTGTCTGTTTGAAGCTTTAATTATTATGATTGGTTCTTTTTCTATAGGTTCTTCCCCTTCTTCATTAAATGATTCGTCCATGAATTCAGTTTCTTCTGTGTTTCTATCTTTGTAATGTTTGAGTCTATTCCCATATACATATTTGACGTATATTCCGTTTTCGTCAACAAGTTGATAAGCACCGTTATTGAGTTTTTGGTGGATTCTATATGGTCTATCCCACTTTGGATCAAGTTTTCCGCTCCATTGCTTGTTCACTTTACTCCTGTATACAAGTACGAGATTATCAATATTGAATTCTTATTGTAGAAGATTTGTGTTATAGCGTTCTTTTTGTTTGTATTGGGCTTTTTCTATATTCGATTTTGTTTCCAATCGTTTTTCGTTTAACAAAAAGATAATATCAAACATTTTTTTCTTTATTATTTGTTGATAATTATCATTTATTTCAATTTCTATTGGAATTTCTAAGTCAATAGGTAAGACTGCCTTTCTTCTATAGGTTAATTCAAAAGGTGAATATCAAGTAGTATCTTGTTGAGAAGTTCGATAAGCAAGCAATACAGCTGATATATATCATCCCAATGAGTTCTAAATTGTATGGATAATTTTGCTAAAGATTCACATAATGTTCAATTAAATCGTTTCACTAATCCGTTGGTCTGAGGATGGTATGGTGAAGATAATGTTCGTTTGATTTTCATTCTTTCACACAATCGACTAATTGTCTCATTTACAAAGTGTATTCCTTGATCTGATAAAATTTCTAAAGGACATCCATGTTAGGCTATTATATCTTCTTTAATAAATGCTTCAACATTGACAGCATTAGCTCTATGAATGACTCTTGCTTCCAGCCATTTTGTCAAGTAGTCCATAGCAATTACTATAAATTGATTTCGATTTGAGGTGACTGGAAGTGGTTCTACAATGTCAATTCCAATCTGATCGAATGGTTTCCTTACCCTAATTGGGTTTAATTTTTCATTTATTTTTGGTCATCCTCTTTGCTGACAAATTTTACAAGATCAAATATATTCTTTGATGTTTTCTGTTAGATTAGGCCAATAATATTTGACTTTTGTTATAGTAATATTTTGTCCTAGATGTCCAGCAGTCACGTTATCATGTAAGTTATAAAGGATAATTTTCTTTTCATTTTGTTTTATTACTCTTTTTGATTATTATTCAATTTCTTTTTGTCGATATAATTTATCTTCAATAATTATAAAATTTTTAATCTTTCTTTTAATGTTCTTTTGTTGATCAAGCGATAATTTCGCTATTGTTGTTGAATCTTTTAGATGAGTTATTATATTATTATATTCTTCTTCATTCATGATTTTTAATTATTAATATTATTATTTATAATCTTGTTAACCTGTTCGATTATAATTTCTTCTTTGGAACTGTTGTCCAAATGTCTGATAGTTCTGGTTGTTTCGGAATGTTTGGTTTCCTTGATTATCTCAAAGATCTTGCCTAATTGATAATTATTGATCTCAGTATGATCTAAATGGTCATTAATCATATCAAGGTGTATGATAAGCGTTGAATGATCAGTTTTGATTGGTGGATTGTTCTTTCCTTTGATCGAATAATCTCATTCGACATTCTCACATTAAATGTCCTTTTCTTTCACAATAATGGCATTTCTTTTCATTATCCGTTGGTCTTTCGATACACCAATTTTCTCTCTGTTTGGTTACCAATGTTTGGATGATTTTCTCCAAACATTTTATTCTTCTTCCGTCAGCATTTTCTGTTTCACCATCCAATATCACGTTAACGCTGATGGTGTCAATTCGTGATTGAATTGTTCTTCATTAATATCCTTATTCAATCCTTCTGAGCTGGATGCAAATAGAGAACTTTCATTTCTTTGTTGTTCTTCTATTTCAAATAATTCAGTCGCAGTGTTATTGTAGATGGGCTGAATATATTGCTCTCTGAAATAATATATATCTTCGTTGAGTTATCTCAAATATTCGTTTAAGAAATGGTCTCGAGCTTCAACTGGGCAATTCCTTTTAATATGATAAAAAATACTTCTTTGACTATTTTCTGAGACTGGTGTTCTGTGTTGATGATAGTTGATCTGTTTGTAGATATAGTTCTTTAGATGTAATTTTAGGATATTAGTTCCGTCGATTTGGAAGAAATTTTTAAGTTTCTCATATTGGATTTCACAGATGAATTTGATTTCTTCTGGAAGTATCACCAGAGTGATAAGTGTTTTTAGAATAATTTTCTTTTTTTAAAACTATTACCACTCGATTACTTTGTATTGACTATTCTTTTTTTTATATTTTAAGATAATGGGGATATCGAAAATAATTGATCTGAGTTGTTCTTCGAGTTTTCTTGGAATCAATTTTTGAAATTTGGTCCAAGAGATATTATTTAGAGTTCTTTTGACGTTTTCGTTGTTGATTTGGATTTGATGTCTTTGTTTCGTTGGTAAATGTCTAATAGTTATTATGTGACTTAGTTTATATGCGTGTATACTAAACTTTCTTTTATTGTTTTCTTTTGGCATTTATTAGGAGTCTTAATATTCTCCTTCAGGTAGATATCAGGAATCTTTCCTGTCATTTCTTAATCTTTGAATTCATTGAGATCAGAACTGGTAACCGTCTTTTCCAATAGTATAGGTAGTAATTATTTGTTCGTCGATATGGTTGTCAAGGTCGATTTTAGTTTTGTTTTCTTTGGCTTTTAGTAAGGTTTCTTGGCTAAGATAATAGATATATCAGACGACGATTTCAGTCTTTATTTATTTAATTGAGTTTTGTTGATTCGTTATGTTTAAGAATCTATCTTATTTTGGATAATCCTCTTGTCGTGACTTCTTTTTCTTTTCTTTAGATTCATGTCATTTTGGGATTCAATGATTTTGTTGATTCCCCTGCTGTGAGCATCAAAATAAGACGATGATACTATTTGGTTATAAGAGTTATAGAAGAGTGTTATTACTTTTCAACTTTAAGATATTTATAAATAGAATAGTTTATTTTAAGAATTATAATTCGGTATGATGTTTAAAAACTAAAAGATGTTGTGGATCTTCTTAGTGTAGATATATTCTAAGTGTGCTTTATATCCTTAGCGTTGTAATTAAAAATAAGTTAAATCAATTAATATAATTAAAGTAATTATGCGCAATTTAAGTGATTAATAATGTTTCCACAGAATGTTTGTTAATTTCAACAGAATTTAAGAAATTAAGATTTATGTTCAAAAAGTGTATTTTTATTAAAATAATCAATTTTTGATACAATAACTAAGAGCAAGTTATTTGGCTAGCTGTACCTTGATCAATTGAT